AAAAAAAACAAAAAACAAAGAGATGAGTGCCCTGCCAAGGCTAGTGACCGAGTGCATGCGGTGTGGTGAGTTGTTGCAGGTAGCCAGGAAAACCCGGAGTTGTTGCAGGTAACCAGGAAAACCCGGAGTGGACTTTTAGTGGTTTGAGTATTCTCCTATTAATGAAGTGGAACGGAATTGTTCATGAAGAAATAGAAACAGTGCTCGCTGGGTGAACTAATATTTCATGGTAAATGTGGGGGGTCCAAACCAATATGTTTTAAATGTGAGGGGGACACGTCCCCATCTCACATAATTGATGCGATGCCTATGCATTTAAGCAATGGTTTTACAAATATTTAGGTTTTAGCTACTGTTCTGTTGTTTTAAGTTATAAATCCTTTTCAGTGCTCACTGTACAATTTTTTTTTCTTTTTTTTTTTTTTGGAGACGAATAATACAACTTTAGAGAACCAGAGTTTGACTTCAACATGTGGGTTCTGTGGAGAACGTGTTCTGTTTGACGGATTCAGTTTAAGTTGATTTATAGATCTTTTAGAAAACATTCCTTAAAGGATTGAACTCCAGAACCGGGGCCATAGCCATGTTCTTGTAAACGTACTTTTTGGGGACTTTGCATTGACTTCCATTCATTTTCTATAGCCTAACCCTGACCCTTACCCTAAACCTAACCATTACTAGTACATGCCTAACCCTAACTCATCTGCAATTAACAACTTAGTCCTAAACCTAACCCCCCAACGAGACTTCTACTTATGGGGACCTGGCTTTAGTCCCCATAAAGAGCAGTTGGTTCCCACAATGCATGATTTTTTTGTAAAATTGGTTCCTATAAGATAACCTGAAACAAAAACGTACACACACGCACATACACTGTTTGAGGCCCACAAATATCAGGCTGGCGTTCATCCAGAGGCAAACAAAGCAGCGAGTGAAGAAGTGGGCCACCCAGGCGGGCCGCACCGACCCGGTGTGGACGTAATCCACATCCCGCCCTCTTGCTACATGCCGCTGTGTCAGACACATGCGTGTGTGTGTGTGTTAACTCTCCCTGCAGCAGACTGAACTCTTTATGCCCAGACTCCAGCTTCTCAACATTCACATCATTATTACCCGCCGCTACGAAAGGCGAACAATCATGTAATGTTGTGTGTGTTTTTAGCCTGACTGTTGGCAAAATATGTCATGAATCCGTGGATGGTTTTCAAGAAAATTTTCAAACCAATCATTGATTTCTACTTTTGGCTTTTTGCTAATCTTTTTACAATTTTACCATGCCCAGCTTTTAGTTGCTTTAGCTGATGTTTTGTCACTTTTTTAAGCTTGTTTTAGCGAGCCCTTTAGTGCTTTAACTGGCCTTTTGTTTACTTTAGCTTCTACTAAAATTTTTCTATTTTTAGTCTATAATTAGTCTTTTTTTATTTAGTGAGGTCTGTGAAGGATCCAATGAGCCGGTCCTCTGGATCATCAGATCAGATGATCCGGTCTTCAAATCTGTGAAGGATCAGATGATCATGTCTTCAGTTTTGTAAAAGATCAGATGATCGTGTCTTCAGTTCTGTGATGGATCAGATGATCCAGTCTCCATGTCTGTGAAAGATCAGATGATCATGTCTTCAGGTCTGTGAAGTATCAGATGAGGATATCTTCAGGTCTGTGAAGGATCAGATGAGGATGTCTTCAGGTCTGTGAAGGATCAGATGATCCAGTCCTCATGTCTGTGAAGGATCAGATGATCCAGTCTCCAGGTCTGTGAAGGATCAGATGATGATGTCTTCAGGTCTGTGAAGTA